ACACATTTCTCAAATGCATTTGACCCTAAAACAGTGCTCAGAAGAATGCCTTTTGGAAAATTTCTGCTTATATAGCCTTTAGCTTGCCAGGAAAAATGGTCATTCCCATTTACTATCTGATCCAACGGACCCCTTAAAAATCCTCCCACCCACCCAGAAATACTGCTTTTCTGTGTTCTTGAGATGGTGATTTTGTAGCTGCAGTTGCATTTCATTTGTAAAAGGGAAAGAGGGTAAAACAGCTTTACTAGTAATTTTGACACCAAAATTAAAATACACGAAGTCCACATTTTTATTCTATATTTTTCAGATTTTGAAGGTGTACATATGCAAAGGGAGCAATAAATACTCTTTGAATGCAACCAACCATCTATCAGCTGTCATGGGAATCCGGAACATCCGCATTGTAAACACTGACTCATTTCCAACATGGCTCTAAAACAGTCTCACTTTTCATTGTTTCTGCCTCCTCATGCACTTAAAACTGTGAAATACATGGGAAAAAATTAAAGCCTTCAAAAATGTAGTTTTGTTGAAAAGATTATGGCCATTTTTGCTTCATAACTGCAAATCATTTCCATTTTCAGATCTATACACACCAATTAAGATGATTGATCCAACTTGATTTCTATTTCCTTCCAGTCCCCTTCAAATGCCTTCAACATTTTCCCACTTACAAAACATGTCAGGTAGATTTCTGTGCACAAACATGACAAAGGATGAAAAATCACTGCCAAACATCCTTTTAGCAAAGGACACAGTCCAGTTTCTTGAGACAAAATATTGCATAATGAAGTCCTTCTTGTGGGATGACCAGATGAGACATTTCCTTTTGATTCATAGGAATATACCATTCGACCATCAAATTCTGAGTTGGAGAAAGTTTATCAAATCTATTGTCGCATGTAGAGTTATGATCTATGATTTCACTTATATGACCAATTTCACTATCTTCCTTTCAATCTTGACGTTTGCTATCTCTTTGTATTCGATCTTCTAATTCATCTAAGAATTATGAAACATCTCCCTGTATTTTTACTTTTTGCCACTGTAGACTTAAATTTTAAAGTTTAGAATTTTCACCAGTGTTCAATTCAAGCTAAAAGCAGACTACAAGATGGGATCTCCAGTCTTCTTTCTTGCCTTCTTATGATGATGCCACTCTTTTGCCAAGGCAATAGGAAAACTGGGAATGGTGTAGTTTTTATATTTATCTCAGTATTGCTTCATTCTTCTAGTTTAGGTCAGGCCAGTACTCTTTTTTGGCATAGTTTACCATAATTCATGAATAATGATGAAATAGCAAAAATGTTTCAAAATATAGGGAAAATAAGAAACCTGGGATCCTCAAATGCAACCTAGATGTGTAAAATGCTCCAACAGATAGATATGGTAATTACAATATAGAATAAATTTTGTTCTAATAAAAAAAATAAGTAATTATTTTTGCTTTGGAAAATTTCTAAGGAAGAGTACAAGTTCAGTAATACCAATCCTTATGAATAGATAGAACTCCACAAAGGAAACTAAAAAACTAAACCTGGATTTAATGGATCCTGACAAGAGTTATTTTTTTCTTCCATATTTTGACTTACATGTAATTCTCTTAAAACTTCCTGTGAATGGAAATATGCTTTTCTCTCGTGATAAATAGGGGTTTTAAGCAAAACACATTTTATATTTTATAGAGTAGCATATTCTTTATTTTTTATCAAAAGAATTATTTTTGCATACTCTTTAAAACATTCATGACCTTTGTTTTCTTCCACACTTCCTGACATATTCCACTAAGTTGATCTGAGATGCCTCATGCAAGAAAAGTAATTCATAGTGAATAGAGTAAAAAAGGGCAAAAACACTCTGACTTTAGTTCCTAAATATATGTATGATATATTTTATAATGTTATTACATAAAAATTGGCAAAACTGTTTTTATTTTCATGATATTTGGAATGCTTATATTTTGTACTTAAACTGGGTTTTTTAAAACAATTTTTGATATTTTATTTCTAACCCATAAGTTAAGACAGGAGATTTCAGCTTTTTTTTTAACAACACATTTTAGTATGTGGATTTCTTTCACTAATAAGAAAAAACTTATATTGGATATAAGCAACAGCATATACCTGTTTTCTTTCAACTTAGTTTTGAAATGTTAGAAGTACAGGCTGGTGAAAATAATGTGGAGAGAAATTTCTAGCATTATCACCGTTTTAGGCTTCCTGGTGTGTTCTTGTGTTTCTTCAATAGCCTGCGGTAGGTGCCCTGCCATGGTGGATGTAAATAAACAACACAGGACAAAGAGTAGAGCAACAGAAGCACATGTGTGGTCAAGGCAGCAGAGGGCCACTAAGGACAAATGGGTGAGTCACAAGCATGCTTAGCTTGTCCTGCACACTTTAAGACCTTCTTAGTCTTATTTCAGAAGGGAAATTTGAAATAGTCATTTTATTTGTTGTGTTAAAAGTAGACATAGACACAGCATGCTTTTAGCCTTTGCAGTAATCCAAATCCCAGGTTGCTCTTGAGACACCTAACTAATGGTTGGGAAAATGGGTCAGGCTCAGTGGACAGGAGCCTGGCCTTTGGGTGCTGGCTTGGGCTTTCTGGTTATGTGGGAGATACAGGATTTGTCCTTTCTCTTTGAGGCTTCATGGTGCAGACTCTTCGCGTGCTATGGGCTTTCTATTTTCTATTGTCCACAATGGATTGCAATTTCCAAAATTGTAACTCAACTTATATGCATTCGCATCTAGTTTGTAATCAGTGCTAATGTGGTCAATTGCACACTTCTGAAACATTACACATGATAGTGCCTCCTAACTTTATTTGCCCCTTGGCTTTGAGTCTGGAGGCTGACTCACTCCCCATTCTCAGGTTGTTGGAAGTATATCCTCTGTGGATATTACAGTCTCCTGGGCCCTGATCTCCTGCTTGGGAGCTAGAGGTAGAGGAGGGAGAAGGCGAGTGGGAGGAGCTGAGCAGCCATCACCTCTGATCATGGTTCTGCAGGGCCGGTCCTGTACACTTTCTCTCTGCCCCTGGAATCAACCAGGCCCATGCAGACACATCCTCAATGATGAGGAAGTCAGAATACCCTCCCTCCAATTGCCTACAGGTTCCCAGGGAGATCTTGGCACCCGAAGCATCAAATCAAAACCGTGGTCCCGGCCTTTCCTTTCCCATGACATGCCTTTCTGGTTTGCTGGGAAGAGAGCCGGCTGTCAGCAACTTTGAAAAGGCTAAGCTGCCCCCAGGAGCCCCGCCTCTCTGGAGTGAAGCTCCCCTTGGTCTATCTCACAGGAATGTTCAGTGAAAGCCAAGCTGAAAGACTGAGGCATGCTTCTTCATCCCATGCACTGGCCCCGATGATGTGAAAGTCATCTCAAATGCCGACAGGTGAGGAGAATGCTGCAGTCCCAGCTCATGCACTGTAACCATGGCAACTGGCAGGCCAGCAGGGAAGAAGCCCTTTTGGCAGGACTGGGATTAATGGAACAAGACAGGCTGTTGCTACAAGGCCATGGCCACTTCACTGTTGGCCTGAAGTCCAGAGACCTGGAGGGTGAGAGTTCGAATGTTCTGGGTTTGCATCCAGACTCTTGGCCCTGTGCTTCCAGTGCAGCTCCACACAGTGGTACTAGATGGGCACTGCTGCCTAGTATTGGCAGCATGGTGGGGGAGAGGCAGCAGCCCACCACAAATGCCTGTGGCTCGGTGTGGGCCTACCTATGAGCCATCAGCCCAGATGGTAAGACACTGGTGAGAAGTCATCTACTGAGGGCCTGAGAGGACACCCCAGAATGCAAAAGCTGTCAAAGGTAGAGTTCCATGGGTCTCCTATGCTTTCTGTCTCCCACCATCCCAACTAACGGGAATCTCAGTCAGCTCCAGCTGCTATAACAATGTGCCAGAGATGGGATGGCTTACGCCACAGATGTTTATTCTCACTGTTCTGGAGGCTGGACATCTAAGAGGCCAGCACTGGTGGGTTAAGTGAAGCCTTTTTTGGGTAGGTAGCAAATAGCACCTTTTAGCTTTGTCCTCACATGGTAGAAGGAGACTGAGATTGTTCTTTTCAATCGCTTTCATTAGGGCTCCGCTTTCTGCCTTTGTCACCTCCTGCAGGCCTCACCTGCTCATACTGTCATCCTAACTTAGGAATCTTGAGGGAACAAATATTCCATCCACAGCGGAGAGGGTGCCAACACTTACAATACCCAGCTCTGCCATTTCACTTAACTCTCCCAACAACCCTGCCAGGGAGGCAGCATCCTTCTTCCTATATTTATAGAGGAAGAAACCTGGGTGAAAGAATGCTACTGGGTCAGTCAACTGGCAAAGGTAGAATTGAAGTGCACATGTGAGCCCATGCCCTCTCAGGGGGCAGGGAGCCACCTCCTCTGCAAGGACCTGAGCTCCTTCCAACTGAGTGGGGCCAGAGGAACAGCTCCTGTGATTCAGTTCTGTGGGATAGGGCATTGCGGGGCGGGGTGGGGCCTCCGGGGAGAAGATAGGGTAGTCCTGTTCAGGGTCCCCCTCTCCTTTTCCTTGGTCACAGGAAGGTAGAGAATGAAGAACCAATAATGTACCCTCTTTACTCCTCCAGGCTCAAGATACAGTAATTCCATCTCTTCCATGAAGCCATCCCTGAAGCAGGTTTGGAAGTCCTCTTTCATGAGCCTCTGTCATTGTGTTGTCATGGCTGCTTCTATGTCCTGAGTCAATTCAAAATGTTTACCTTTCATGACTATTTTGACTTTGAGGAAGAGCCAGAAGCCATATGGTGCCAGATCCAATGAAAAAAGTAGATGAGGACATACTGTAATATTTTTATAAGTCTACCTATCTACTGAATGACACTCAGCAGCAACAGTCACTGTACTTTTGACCACACCTGGTAAAGATACTCATGAGACAGGACTTCCAGAACTGCTTCAGAAAGTGGCAAGAAAGGCAGGATAAGTGTATTTGAAGTAAATGGAGGTGAGTATTTTGAATTGATGACAATGTGTCTTTACTGTAATAAATTTTTAAAAATATAAACACTCACCTTATTTTTCAATCACCTCTTATACAGTCAGTGGTATTTGAGAATTCATTCTCCCTGTTCCTCCCTCACCCACCTGGGTTTCTGAGGCTTCAGTTGCTTCACCCATTGGTGCTTTCACTGGGAGCCAGGCAGGGCATGGAGGGGAACCTGGGAGAACATTCCTGATTCTCTGTGGACTACTTTCTTCCTGCTTACTGGTGCCTCCAAATTTTGGGGTGGGGTACATAGACAGCTATTCTGTGTCACCACTTGCCATTCCCCATCCTCTTGCCACCTGCTAGATTTCATAATATGAACCATGGGTCAAGCCCGGCTCACGTGTGCAAGTCCATCCTGTGGAATTACCAAAGAAATTTATCTCAGGGCAGCCTGGTTTTGCAAGTCAAAAGTGCTTTAGTTTTCAGCTGGAAAGAGACAAAGTCTACCTGAAAGCTGCAATCCAAGAACTTGAACTTGATGTGTACAGTGGTGGGAAGCAGTCCTGCTGCTGGGACCTCAGGGCAGGGCCCAGGCAGGTTGGCACCATCTGTGTCAAGGGCTATCATTCATCTTGAACTTCGTAAATGTGCTTATTGATTCCAACAATGACCTGGGAGGTAGTGTTTTGAGGAAGGGGAAACATTTTTTGAATTTCCAAATGAGCTGATATGGAGGCCTTGGTAGTGGGTACTAGGAACACCAGGAAACTGACACTTCTTTCGTACCTTAAATATCACCCCTTGTGATATGCAGAGTGGAAGACACATGGGCAGTGAGTGACAGATTTCAGGGGAGCAGGAATAATTGTTGGCAAGTCAAGAAATGCTGCAGCTGGGGTGGCCTGGAATCTGCTCCAGGGGGCACTGAACAGGAAGATTATGAGAAATGGGGGACATTTCCAAGTGATATTAATGCAGAAACATAGGTGTGAGAGAGAAATCCATAGTGTGGCTGGGGACAGTCTGGTGGTCTTGAGACTTTGGAGTGGAGCATGGCAGAAGAGAAGGTTGGAAGGGTGGCTGTGTGGGTTTGGAGCCGCGGAAGCCAGGGAGGGCTTGCCCACTGGGCTTGCGGAGGAGAAACAGCCTTGAGGAGGGAAGTGGAGGAGGGTGGAGGTGAAGTGTCAGAAGACTGTGGTAGATGCTGAAGGAGGCCTTCTATGACCAGGCCCAACACGGTGACAGCAGAGGCACAGTGAAGAGGACACTTAAGTGAGGGGACGTGGAGACAAGGGGGAATCGGGAGGATGCTGATGCTCTTCGAGGTCAGTGAGGCTTCAAGGCTGCTGCCTGGCCCCGGATTAGCCCTCAACAGAAATGGGGCCATCCTGAGAGGACTTAGGGTAGTGACATCCAGGAGACAGCTGACCCTTAGGATCAAGAGATAACAGAGCAGCCAGGGACAGGGTGACAACCTGGGGCTGTCTGCACAGGACACCCCTGCCCAAGGGGAGGCTGTGAGTGTTGGGGGAGGGAAGAGCAGAGCAGGGGACGGGGGAGCTCTTGGGAGGCTGCACACTTCACACAGGCTCGGAAACACTTTCCAGGGTTGAGGCCCTCACACACATAGCTCTGAGCCTGTGCAATGGGCCAGTGAGTTCTCACTAGTCTACCATGTAGATCTGAGGTTTGTAGGGAGTTTTCAAGGCACTGAGGAGTACGAGGAAGACCCATAGTACTCTAGAGGAAGCAGGATGGAAACTGTAGAGTGGCTCTCCCAGGGCATCAGGGGATCTTGAACTCCAAAGCTCCCATGCCCCCAACCAGGGGTCATCCTAACATCAGGGGGCAGAGAATCTCCATGCAGCCCCACAGGTTACATCTTGGTCATATCAGACTTTTCAGCCAGTGTTCTCAGGACAGTCATTTTTGGGTTGCATTTCTGGGTTGGTAATCAAAGATGACTGGGAAGGTGGGGAGAGATTTGGCCATGAGATCTCTTCCAACTAAATGAGTAGGATATTTTAGAGACACTGGAGTAGAAGAAATGCAAGCCCATGGTTTTGCTCTGTCCACTATGGTTCTTTGGCATCCTGTTGCTTTTTTTTTTTAGTATTGGAGATTGAACCCTGGGCCTTTGCATTGGGCTACATCTCCAATGCCACTCCTGCTTTTTTTGACACAGGGTCTTGCTAAGTCACTAAGTTAACCAGGCTACCTTTGAACTTGAGATCCTCCTTCCTCGGCTTCCAGAGTGCTGGGATTATAGACATGTGCCACCATGCCTGGGCTGCTGCCATTTTAATGCACTCTATGAGCCCCCTTCTGTGGAGTGATCAACCTACCCATTGTGAGAACACTGGGCATAGCCACTTCTACCCTGAGCACTTCTGACAGCCAACAGAGACCAACAAATTAGGATAAAAAGATGACACTTGGCTCCACCGGGCTGTGTTCTCTGCAACATTCTGCAGGCTCCATGCTGAATGGACATTCTGTTTGCTTCACCCCACTTTCCTCTCCATGTGCAGCCCAGGTTTTCTGCCTCCTTGCTTAGAACCTGCCCTCCCAGATAGTCTGGTACTTTGACTTACTGATCAATCATTTTATTTTGCTTCGTTTTATTTTAAACCACAATTTTACCCTCTTGATCTCTAATAACTTTTCTTTTTTCTTGTGTTTGTTTGTTTGTTTGGGCAGTACTAGGGATTGAACCGGGGTGTTTGCACTGAGCTACATCCCCAACTCTTCATTATTTCTTACTTTGAGACAGGGTCTCACTAAGTTGCCCAGGCTGGCTCAAACTTGCAGTCCTCCTGCCGCAGCTCCCCAGAGTGCTGGAATTTCAGGTGTACACCACTACACACACACACACACACACACACACACACACACACATACACACACATGCCACCCTGTTTCGGAGCCCAGTGGGCACTAAGCCCCTCTCCTTAGTCCAAGGCCAGGTCCAAGCCTCAGCTGAGCTGTGATGGCTCCTGTTTCCACAGTCTACAATGTTCCGTGAGCATCACAGACTTCATCATTGCAAGTGCTTGAGGCGAGAACTTCACACAGTCCTCCCAGGAGATGTGCTGTCTCTATTCAAGACAGGAGCAGATGGGAATGTGGCAGGGAAATCGTCCAGGGGCCCAGTGGGTCGGTGCCAAAATGACCCAGTAACTAGCCCAAGTCCTGGCACCTTGAGAAAGGTATGTGTCCTCCACACCGAGTGACCGGTCAGGGCTGTCCTGTCCAAGCCTTTGTCCTTGAGTTCTCTTCACACAATGATCACCAAGCATCCAGAGCAGAAGAACAAAAGGTCTTTGAGGTCATCCTGAGCACAAATGCCAGGACTATTGTTAACACACAAAGCTTTCCCTGTCCTGGCTAGAGAGTAACGTTCTCGCTGGGGGAGTTTTTGATTCAAGATAAGCCAATAGAGCCGGAAGTTGGCCGCATGGTGTGGACGCCACATAGCTGCCTCATTGGTTTCTGCCTCTGGATTGAGCTGTGCTCCATGAGGGCGCTGGAGATCTCTGGGTCCAGAGCTGATCCCCAAAGCATGCAGCCAAGTCTCTTGGAGGACACTGGTCCCACCAGCCTTGGTGCTCCTCTTCCTGGGGCACCATGCTGTGTCTGCTGACAGGAAAAGGCACACACTATTGACAAGAAGGGGGATTCTCACCCCCCAGAGAGTCTGTCCCAGCCCCTGCTAGCTTCTGGCTCTAAGAAGGGACTCTCTGGTGGCTTTGCTGGAAGAGGACAGAAAAATAAAAGCCTGAGGTGGGAAGGACACTCTGGTTTGCAAATGTGTTGCATATATCCTCTTAAAGATTCGGGTTTTAGAAGCTTGGTCCTCGGTGGGGCTTAGTGTTAGGTCATTGGTCACTGCAGATTCTGTCTGTGGAAGGGATTAAGGTTATTATAAAGAAGCAAAACTGGCCCCTCCCCATCCCTCTCTGGCTTCCTTTCTCTCCATGGAATCTTTCTTTCTTGCATGGGCTATAGTGTATCACTATGATGCTGCCTGTTGTGTGATATACTTGGGGATCCTTTGCTGGAGCCACCGCTATGCTCTTGAACATTCCAGGCTTTGAGCTAAATAAATCTCTTTTCTTTATGAAGTACCGTGCCTTGGGAATTTTGTTATAACAATGGAAGATGGACTAATATAAGGGAGGATTAGAGAATCAAGCAAGGCCAGGGACAGGTGCTGAGACCAGGAAATGAGGCAGGTATAGTAGGGACAGGGAGAGGGTAGAGAAAGGACAGAACTGCAGTCAAGTTTGCAGGTTGGGTGGTAAGTTCCTGGATGAAAGGGAGCAAATAAGGAGGGGAAGGACTGAGAGGGGAAAGTGGGGAAGGTTGGAGTTGCACTGGGATTTGAAATCAGGGTCACAGAAGGAATTTGTGCAGGAGATAGAGGCAGCAGGTAATTGGAGGTGTGGGATGAAGAGCCTTTCAGAGTAAGGGGTGGGGTGGAGAGAGAAGCTTCTCATTTTCCACAGTCCTGGGCCATGGTGGGAGTTTCCTACTGGGAAGAAAGCATGGCTCCTCATTGGTCACCTGACTGAGGTAGGTCTCTGGTAGGAGGGCAGTCCCTGAATGGAGACCCATGGACAGGAAGTCAGAAGCCCTCATCCTTAGATTCAGGTATTTTTCTTCCCACAGTGACTCCTGCACTGGGTTAACACCAGTCCTCTCTCTCAAGTGGTAACTGATGAAGGAAACTTCATCCCTGATGTCCTACCAAAGTGTGCTTTTGGAGTCATGGTTCCTGTCAGATGGAGAAACCTCCGATGCCTTTTCCTGTTCTGGGATGGTGCAGCTCCTAGCTCCCATGCCAATCTTAGTGCCTCTTCTCTAGACCCAAGAGTGGAGTTTAGCCTTCTGCATCTGTTTCAGACTTGAGGCCACAGTCTAAATTTAAGAAACATTCCACAAACTGGTGTGATGGTGCATGCCTGTAATCTCAGCACTTTGAGAATCTGAGGCAGGAGGATTACAAGTTGGAGCTCAGCCTGGGCAGTTTAGCAACTTGTGAAACCCTGTCTCAAAATAAAAGATGAAAAAGGGCTGGGGAAGAGTTCAGCCTAAGTGGCTTGGGTTCAAACCCTAGTACCACAAAAACAAATCAACAATTAAAAAACCTAAGAAACAAACAAACAACAAGAACAAAAACCATTCTACAAATGCACAGGCATGGATGCTTTTTATTTCTAAGACAGAGGTCATAATGTGTCTATTATTTTGCTAAAGCTTAATCATCAGAGTCTATGCAATTGGTTGTAGACATTTTGGGGTAGTGGGAACATAAGTTCTTCATTTAGGGAGGAAAAGATTAAGCTAAATTAGTAATTCAAAACTGAAAGTAACCCAGAAAATTAGATTAGAAATTTTTGGAAAAACACATCACATAGGTGGCCTATGTTTGTTTAAACCAATTTTACCAAGGAACAGAAAAGCTAGCCAGGCTGGGCTGCTGTGGATGTGGGGCCTGCCCTGCAGACTCCCTACCCCTTCCCCACATTCCCTGTTCCCCACCTTGTCATCCTGTGTACCCCATGCCTGGTGGAGGTTTGTGTGTCCATCCCACTTGACCCAGGGCCCACAGAACAGTATCTCCTGATGGTGAGGACATCTAGCACATGTCCCCTCTGACCATGGTGTCCCCAAGAGGCCACTGGATCATTTGGTCCTAAGGAATATTCAGCAATGTGTTTTCTGATCAGGGATCCAGTCCCAAGGTCTCTGGCTTATGTCACTCTGAATTCTTGTGCTTCAAGGGACAGTCACAGCTCTGAGTTTTGAGAGGAAAGATCTTCCAGAGACATTTGCATGCATGTGGGTAACAGCTATTGGCCTGGCTAGGTCCCACATGCCTTCCTGGGTGGGAAGAACCAAAGACGGGAGTGAATCAGAGGGACAGAGGCACCCAGGACCCAAATCTGGAGGTGAGAAGAACTTTTATACCCTACAGGCTTCCAGGTACTTGACGGTCAATGTGCAAAAGGCCCAGATAACTTGTGTCAATGAGCTTCCCTAATTACACAATGCCTAACGATTCAGCTGTGGAGTTTGCTCTTGAAAACAACCTCCTAACCCGTTGACAGTACATTCAGGAACTGGGCAAAATGATGACATTTTTTCAGAGGTCCCCTGAACCACCCCAAGGTCACCTCCCCTGTCTCTACAGATAGTAACAGCTCAATACTAGCAATGGAGCTCTTCAGGGCTGCACATAATTTATAGCTTTCAGTCCTCAAACCTATCATACTGTCATGACCCTCCAGACAAGCAAGAGTGCTGATACTAGGTGCTCCCCTGTAAGTACACAGTGTCCTGGCCGTGGCTCCACATATGGTCAACTTGTCCTCTCACTTGGTCCTCAGTGAAGCCCCAGGAAGTGAAGCTCTTGTTGCACCAGGTGCCAAATAAAAACACTGGTGGCAATGGTTCACTAGTGGAGGCTCACTCTGCAAGCTTCTAGCGTAAGCCCGACATCTGTTGTCTCAAGCTAGACCCAGGCCCATCAAGAATGGGAACAGGCCTATACACAGGTCCCAGGGCCATGCCCTTTCACTTGGTCCTGGAGCTGGCAAACATAGAGTCTCCTGGCAGCAGCAGAAGTGCAGGTGGAAGAAAGCTTCAGAGTGAGGGCCAAATGGCAAAGAGCAGTGGGATCCCACCCAGACCATTTGTACCCAGGCACCACTGTGCAGGCGTGGACACACTCATGGCTTTCCTTCAACAATAAGTAAAATGTGGCCTACTGGACATGTCACAGTTCCGGGGAAATAAGGCCACAAAGTCCTCAAGGCAAGTCTCTTTCGCTGGTGACACTGATGGGGGTGAGATAGGCAGGGAGCAGAGGGCAACTATGCAAAAAGCTCTGTTCCAGTTATTCCTGCCAGGTCAGTCATGGCACAGCCACAGAAGAGAGAGAAGCTGGGCATGGCAGTGTCTGATGAGGGAAGGTGTGTCCTTGGGGCTGCCTCGAAGGGTGGGTGTTACACTCCACTGTGCTTACATTCTGCTCCCCAGGATGCACACTTATGGGCAGGAAAATGATCCCAGCAGATTTTTTCAGGGTTCTGAGAGAACTGAGCTAAACAGAAAACAGCATTAGGTTGCCAAAGATATGAAGGATGTCAGCCAGCACTGTTCCCAGGCCTCGGGTGGGGAAGAATTCAGGTCTGTCCCTAGGCAGAAGTCATCCAAAAGAAATGGTCCTCCAGGGAGGGGCAGCTGGAAAGCAAGTGGGTGGCCCTGTGAGTCGATGATAAGGACAAAACCTGAAGTTCACCTTGCCGTGAAGCATGGGAGAGAGCCATAGCTCCTAGTGGAGTCTGCGGCACCTGCTTGTTCAGATGAGAGGCGCTAGAAGGAACCTGGGGGCCTCTGTCTCTCATACTAGGTCCTAGGTAAATGTGCCAGAGACTGGTGGAATGCGAAGGTGGGAAAAGTGGTGGCACAGGTACCCAGCTCAATCGGATGTAAGGGCTATGCTGAGGGGCATGAAGGGAGTCCGATGGCCAGGTAGGGGGGAAAGAAGCATCAGATGCTGGTGGGTCCAGGCAAGGGAAGGCAGAAGTGGAGGAAATGTGGAAATAAGGCCCTAATAACATTGGCCTTTAAGCAGGACTTGGAATTCAGGAGCAGGATGCTAGAAGGGACTGGAAAGGGAGGCCTCTTCCCTGAGAAGGAACAATGGTCATTCTTCCATGGAAAACTGACCTTCTCTGAGAGAGGAAAGGCTGCCAGGGGAGGAGGGCCAGTTAGGGGACAGGAAGGAAGGGGCCTAGAGCCCGTGCTGAGCAAAGGAAAGCCAGAGAGCCCTGGAATCGCATTTGGAACTTAATATTTCCCCATCTCCAGAATGCAGGGCAGCCTGGCAGCTCACATCCTGGCTTTCTCAGGCACTGTGCCCTCCACCCCAAGTGAGGCCTTGTAGGTTGGAGGCCCGGAGGCTGCCCAGGACAAGGGTCTCACACGCTGCGCACTGCAGCTCTGTGAGACTCAAGTCGACACCCACGGGAAGTGGGAGTTCCCTGAAAAAATAGAGGAAGCCAGCCAAGGTCATCAAGGCACAACACAGACCCCTCCTCTTTCCAAAAGGTGCCTATCTCCAAAACAATCAAGGCCGCCCCATTAAACAACACTCATTTAGTACAAAGGAAGCTCAGCGTGACAGGATCAGGGGCCAGTTCCAAGGAAAACACTCCAGATTGTTGGGTATGCATACAACAATGAACAAAAAAGCTGAATGGCATTCCCGTGTGAGGGCTCTGGTGCCAGGGGTGGAAACTTCAGAGTTCTGGAGTGCCCGACAAAGCCTCCCATGCCCTCCTGCAAGGGCTCCTCATCTCTCACAGGCCTTACCCGGTGGGTGGTCTGCACCCCTGGCACCCGCTGTGTAGTAACTTGGCCACTTTGTACCTTACCTGGCTTGGCCTGGGCTCCTCGGGCCCCTCAGAGGGAGCAGGGCCTTTTGCCAACAGTATCTGGTGGTATCAAGAGCTGCATTTAGCAAAAAGGGGTAGATGTCCAGAGCAGCTGAGAGGAGGGGCCAAACTTCAACTGGCCAGAAGTCTCCACAGAGCTCAGTGTGAACATTTTCCACATTTGTTATAGACTCAAGGTTTGTCTCTCCATTCATATGCTGAAGCCTGAAACCCAAATATGATTGTATTAGGAGACTGGGCCTTTTTGTTGTTTTTTTCTAATACTGGGGATTGAACTCAGGACCTTGTGTTTGCCAGGCAGGTGCAGCACCACTGAGCTACATCTCTGGGCCCTATTAAATTGAATTATACAGTGCTTATTTATTTATTTTTTCTTTTATGGTACTAGGGATTGAACCCAGGGCCTGGAGTGTGCAAGGCAAGCACTCTACCACTGAGTTACATCCCCAGCCCTCCTTTTTGGAGGTGATTTTGGTTAAATAAGGTCTTTAAGGTGAAGCTTGATCCAGTGAGCTCTTTCTCTCCACCATTTACAGACACAGTGAGAGGCGACATGTGGAAGCAGGGCCTTCAATAGGAACCAAATCAGCCAGCAATGGAAGTCCAGCCTCCAGGCTCTGAGAAATAAATTCTTGTTAAACCCACCTAGCCTAGGATGTATGAAGCACTATAGAAAAGTATGGTTTAAATATTTTTTTAAATTACAGTAAAAAACACATTGCTGTTAATTCCCCTGAAAATGCTCCGCTTGGGGCCAGGGATTTAGCTCAGTGGTTCTGGCGCCTGCCTCACAAGCGCAAGGCCCTGAGTTCGATCCCCGGAACAAAAAAAAAAAAAAAATACTCCCCTCAATTTGAATACACTTATCCTATAATTCTTGCCACTTTCTGAAGCAGTCCTAGGAGTTGTTTTTCCTGAGTATTTTCAGTTGTACTATCCTGGCTATCTCGATGTCCTGAATCAATTCAAAATATTGACCTTTTATGGTCATTTTTACTTTAGAGAAGAACCAGAAGTTGCCCAGTACTAGATCTATGGATAAAGTACATGAAGGCACTTAGTAATATTTTTATGAGTCTACCCTTCCATTGGATGACAGTTGGTAACAGCATTCATCATATTTTTTTATCATATCTCATAAAGACATTCACAAAAGAGGACCTCCAGAACTGCTCCAGAAAGTGGCAAGAAAGATGGTGTGTTTGAAGCAAGGGTGAGTATTTTGAGGAAGATTAACAGCAATGTGTGATTTAAGTACTCACTGTATTCTTCCATCACCTCATGTATTTGTTAGAGCCACTCTTGTAGACTGACTCTGTGTCCAATCACAAATTTGAAAGACCAAAGGGAAAGGAATAGTGCATGTTCTCACTGACATGTGGATGTTAAAAAGTTGATTTCATAGAGGAAGAAAGTGGAATAATGTTTACTACAGGTTGGCCAGGGTGTGAGAGGGAAGGATGGAGGAAGGGTGGTTAATGGGTATGGGAACATTTGGACTGGAAGAATAAGTT